CAACTCAAAGTTACGATGGTGCAGAAAAAATAACTTTGTAACCACGGTGCACATTTACAGCCTTCACAGTGTCTGTCAGTCATGTGTTCGCTATAACAGTCAGTTAGATCACACTGTCCTGTGCCTGTTTTTTTTTTCTTTTTCCCCCCCCTTGCAGAGCGGAGAGATTGCCTAAACAAGCCATCTCTTTAGGCAATCTTTCCTGTGCCTGACCCATTTTTTTCTTTCCACCCCTCTCAGAGAAGAGAGATTGGAAAGGAAGGGATTACAAGAGAATAAGCAGGCATACAATGGGGAATACACATTGAGAGGAATGCACTAGCGCTGGCTGTTTTCCCAGCTGCACGTTAGGCAAACAGCTGGCACTAGCGCATTTCTTTTGATGTGTATTCCCCATTGTGTGCCTGCTTACTCTCTTGTAATCCCTTCTCACCAATGAATGTCAATACAAACATTAATTCCATTCTTGCTAATTATCCAAGCACCGGGGTGAGCATTCCAAAGGGTGGGGGAGTCAGGAAAAAGGAAAGCTGAAGTAAAATTGTAAACACAGTTATAGTCACATGATTTTCCTCTTAGCAACCACATCACTTAACAACCGAGTTGCCAATCCCAATTGTGGTCACTAAACGAGGACTACCTGTAATCAAAGATATGTTGCTGTCAAAATCCAGAAATTAACTATGGGAAGGAAAAAGAAAATTGCATTTCTGATACTTTGCTCTCACAATTCATGAATGGACTTTAGAAAAGAAATAAGACATTAGAGTTATAATGACTTTCTGCTCTTATTTCTCTAAGCTTGTTCCTAGAATGGGAGAAGTGTAATCATCTTGAGAAAAATCACTTACTTTCTTCCCTTCTCATCAAATTATTGCATTTGGAATATAATATAGACCATATTTATTACTTATTTCATGAAGCCTGACTAATGCCAAATTATGAAAACATTAAATAACATAACAGCTGTTGTAAATCTTTCTTTTATATACTCACTGTTCGTGTAGCACTTTGATCTCTAAATCCATTTGGGAAAAAAACAGACTTGAATTGATGCACATCTAATCCATGTTTGTTTATATTTATACCACTAACTTGTTGAAGATACTGCTCATAGCAATACAAGAATGCTAGCTTATATTCCTGGAAAGAAAAATAATGCATTTTACATATATCTACATTTTTATTTTCCATAAAATTTTAAAAGATACTTTAGTTATAAAAGGCAGGATAAAAATCTAATAATTATTATTACAATACTCACTTACTTGAAAATGAATTCCAGTGAATTCTGTTGTTATCCACACTTATTGAATTTTTAAATTTAAACATTTGAAGTTCAGTAAACATATATAACAACTGAATCCATTGGAATTCATTTTCAAGTAAGCAAGTACTATAAGCTAGAGAGGAAATCATACTGATTAGTGCAGCTGATACAATACAAAATACTATTTTGTTATTTATTTAGTGGTTTTAAAAGTAAGTTCTTCTTTATTCCAAATAAGAACAGTCCCAAGTAAACTTTTTAAAATACTTCCTTTGAAAAGAAGAATCATTAATACAGACTAAATTAGTAAAATTAGACCTACTGCTCATATTTCACAGCAACTGATACTGGTTGAGTACACAGTACTAGCTGTCACATGGTCCGTTGGCTTTGGATCAGTATATTGTGTGAACTACGTTTAAGTGGTTTATAATCTATGACTTGGTGCTGCGTAAACCCAACCATTCGAATAAATAAATAAAAATAAATATGATTCATGAGGTGAATCACCCTTTCTTAAGTAAATACTCCAAACTGATTTCATACAAATCTGTTTTAAATATCAAAAAATATGAATAAAAACATAAATATAATAGCAGAAAAAAACAATAGATTTTAAAACAGCAATAGATTAATACAAGTATCTTTAAATAATATTAAATATATACAGGTAGTCCTCAACTTACAACTGCAATTGGGACCAGAATTTCCATCGCTAAGCGATGCAGTCATAAAGCACGACCACATCGCTTAGCGATGGCAATACCTGCAGTCCTGGTTGCCATCATTAACAAAATCCCACAGTCGTTAGGCGAGGCAACTTTCTGCTGGCTTCCCACAGTGGGGAAGCCGGCAGGAAGATGCAAGACCCAAGGCCCGCAGGCAGGTAAATGGCTGCTGCTGGGGTAGGGGAGGGAGCAATGGGATGTATAGGGGGCAGGGGAGACACAGTGAGGATGTGAGCGACAGGCGTAGCACAGGTTGGGAAGGTGCACAAGGGTATGTGAGAGTGGCCGTGTGGATCAGGGAAGGTCATGAGGGGGTGCATGAGAGGTGCGGCTTAGGTCAGGAAGGGTGCGCAAGGGTGCGTGAGAGGTGTGGTGTTGGTCAAGTAAGGTGTGTGACTGTGTGGCATGGGTCGGGGAGGGGGTGTGAGGGGGTGCACAAGAGGTTCAGCAAGGATCAGGAGGGTGAGTGAAGGTGCAGCGCAGATCAAGGAGGGTGCATGGGGGTGTGGTGCAGGTTGGGGAGGGTGAGTGAGGGTGCACAGGGTATGCAATTGGCCAGTACGGTGCGAGCGCAGAGCAGCTGGGGAAGGGTGTGCAGGTGGTGAAAACTTTCTGGGGAAGCCAGCAGGGAAGGCTGCAAATGGCGAATACGTGATCATGGGGCACTGCAACCAGTCATAAGTCCAAACTGGTTGCCAAGTGCCCAGATCACAATCACATGACTACAGGGGTGGTGGGACAGCTAGAACTCTAAGGACTGGTTCATAACCACCACGCCATCGTAACTTCAAATGATCACTGACCAAATGGTCATAGGTTGAGGACTACCTGTAAACAGAATGGAAAAGACAGGGCTCAAGATTGGGAATACAAAAGCATGTGGTAATTCTGCAACATGCACATCACAGAAGACTAGACTAAGGCAATTAAATCAGCCTTAGGATTATAAAATGCTGAGTGAAGGCAGTATGATGTAAAATTATTTCAAATTCAAAACTATTTCAATCAACACTTGTCATTTTAAGATACTGCCATTGCTGAAATTAACGCTTAAAATGTTACATTTTAAATTAATTAATTTTTAAAAAATAAATTTAAAAAATTGCATACAGTATGTTGAGCTAGATCTAGAGTTTCATTTTTGAGAAGGAAAGGGCTCATTCCTTTCAAGAGACCAAGATCTGTGGAAGCACTGATTAAAGAAATGGGGTGAAGTACAGTAATTTTTGTCAATTCCCTCTTCTACTTGCAGCCTTCTACCATTACTCCCATCTGTTTCAGACTTCCCTGACATTCAATAAAACCTACCTCCCTTTTCAGAATGATCCTGATTCCCTTTCCCAATTCCTGCTATGTAAAAACTTAAAGATCCACCCAACTGAAAATGAAATATTATATACTAAGCATAATTTTCCAAAACTTGATGAACACTCATACAGATATTGGAATAGAACACTCACATATGTAAGGGAAATTTGATAAAAGTGATTCATTAGAAACATTACTTACTTTCATTTCCATAAGCTGATCACCAATTTTCACAAGTGTTTCATTGTAATACCAAGCTGGGAGTCGAGGCCTGTAGTTGTTCCAGATATTAAACAAAGAAGTGGCTCTAAATAAAAATCACCACCAAAAAACACTTATTGGGATATGGTAATAATCTTGTCAGATTAATATTTTTAGAATGGCAGTAAGATCATAGTGCTATATTCTTCTGGATTCCCTAAGTTTGCCAAGAATGAAAACTTAACATAAATATTTATAAAATAACAGGTCCCTAAGTCATATATATTAAGACCAGTTTGGTGTAGTGGCTAAGGCCTCAAGCTAGAAACCAAGAGGCTGTGAGTTCTACTCCTGCCTGAGACACAAAGCTAATGGGGTGACTTTGGGACAGTTGCTTTCTCTCAGCCTTAGGAAGAAGGCAATCTGAAAAATGTTGTCAAGAAAACTGCAGGGACTACTCCAGGCAGTTACCAGGAGTTAACTCTCACTCGAAGACCAAAAAAGTCATGAATAACTGTAACTTTTATCATAAGATATCTGAAATGGTTTAACCTATTAAAATATTTAGTTGTTTGATACAAGTTTTAGACACCATGAAATACAAAAATACTATTTCCATAAACTCTCCTTGAGATCTAAGTAAATAATAGATTGCAATGGGGAAATCTTATTGGGCTAGAATAATAACAAAAGTTTTAAAAAAATATCAGAAGCAATCAAACAGATCCAGCCCAAACACACTGCTAGAACCCTGAAATCAAAACAGATACTATTTTATGCTGACATGCACCCCACAAAGATTAAACCAAACCAGGAAACAGAAAACAAAGATAAAAAGAGAATAGCAAATAAAAACATGCAACATCTAAGTCACTTCCCAATTGGATTACTGCAACGTGCTCTACATGGGACTGCCTTTGAAAGGGATCATGAAGTGGCAACTGGATGAGCAGTTCTGGGCACTCTGCAGTTCACCATCTTACACCACTGTTGCATGAGCTAAACTGGTTTCCATTTGCTTTCCAGGTGCAATTCAAGCTGCTGGTCATCATCTTTAAAGCGCTACATAGCACAGGGTCAGGTTATTTGTGGGACTGGCTCTTCCTGAGGATATCTGCCCATTCCATTACGTTAGATAATGAAATGAAATTAAAATAAAAGAGCTGAATACTTTCTGAAAGCTTTCTCAATCTAGCAACATCCATATCTGCTGGACAATAATTCCCAACAGTTTATGGCTATTTTAGAATAGGTTTCCACAATTGGTCTTCCATTTCTAAAAGTTTACACATTCTTCTATAAGCCAATTACTTCAACAACTCCTAAAGTAAAAGGAATGAATACAAAAAGAAGCTGCTAGATATCAGTTTCATTCTAGTGGTTTTGTACACTCTGACAATTGATGCAAATGTTATTCCAACCAGCTTACTCATGCAAAACCTGCTGATATGAACAAACAACTAGCATGAGCAGAATGTCATGGGAGAAGTTTACAGAAGATCTAGAAAAAAAACTGTAAACCATAAGCAGGAGACATGACATTCTGTGACCCCATTCCTCATTGGCCTCACAAAAGTAAACTTATCAACTGAACAACTTATTTGCATGAAGAAGTCCTTGTAGTATTATTACAATTTGTTAATTCACCTAATTCAACTCTTCTGTACATTTTTATAGTTTATACCAGGAAAGCATTCCAGTCTGTTGTTTGCAACTTCTATGAAGAATCCAGCTTCTAAAAACTAAAAGTCTACTTGTTATTCAACAACAGATGTGGAAAATAGAAAATATGTCTGAAATTAGATTTGTGAAAACTGTATAAGTCTTCATGTGTAAATATAGCCAAAACTTAAAAGAAATACCTACTGTGGCTTTGGTAATGCTACTGAATGTGGTAATCAAGTAATTTAATTTTAATAAGAATTCAAATTAACTTTCCTCCATCCACCCCTTATAAACCTCCTCTGCCTTTAAAAGCTTCACAACAGACTCCACCAAAGCAGCATTTCTCCAGAATGGAGATACACTGATGGGAGAAACATCTTTTGATAAACTCCTCTTACTGCCTGAAGATTCAAGACAGGAGAGCCTAAGAGGAGGGGGTAATGGCAACTACAGTATTACATTAGCAGAATTGCTGTTTTCCATAGTGGTAAAGTCTCCCTTGAGTCATGCTGATGTTTACCTAGACGTTTTCTTGGCAACAATAAACGGGTCTGCTACTGCCTTTTTCCAGGAGGTTTTTCCCCTTCCCAGGATAACTGGGTTGTTTGGGACTTTCCCCCCCGAGTACCAACGAGGTCCGACCCTGCTTAGCTTTTCGACAGCAGCCACAACAGGCTCGATGCGGCGGCACAGTCGGACGTAAAGTAAAATACAAATACAGATGAATTACTGTATGTCGAATCCACCCAGTAATGAGAAATTGCTACAGGGAAGGATAGAGGGAGGGAGGAGCACATGGGGAGAGAGGATGCGAGAGGGCTTTGGCCGCCCTGGACAGAGTGGGGAAAGAAGCAGGAAGTCCCTCCCCGCTTTACCCTCGCCTGTGCAGCTCCTGATCCCTGGAGCTCGCGCCCCCCGCTTCCCGTTTCTGCTTCAGGAGGCTCAAGCAGTCGCTCAGGTCGGTCTCGAATCGGTGAACCACCGGGTTTCTCGGATCCACGGAGCCATAGAAAATGGCGGGAGCCGGCTGAGGCAGAGTCGGGGATCGCGCTCTGCTTTTGAGAAGTAAAGACATAGCGCTCCATCCGCTTTCGGCCCTTCTGCCCAAGCAACGGCACGCGGACCGTTGCTAGGAGACAGTCCAACAGGCCGAGCAAGCGCGGGGGAGGCGGAGGCAGGAGGATCCCGAGGGGGAGGAAGTAAAGGGAGGGGCGGGCGCTCGCGCTTTCTTTGTCCTCCCGGCACGAGCGTAGGGCTCTTTCGGTATTCTTGGTATCGCGTTCCGGCGTTTCAAAGTATGAGTGGCGGAGGAAGCCGACTGGCCCAAGTCTTTGTCCATGGCATGATCGTCCAGTGGGCTCATGGCAGCGGAATGGTTGCCTTCCCACCTTGTGTGAGAAATGCGAAGCAGCGTGTTTCATTTATGAATTGCATGCTGCTTCAAAAGTTGCTTCTATAAATGGGATTTTCAGTAATATATGCCAGTGTATCTTCCCCACTAATAGGGCATAGGAGTAATTCTTTTTTGTCCTTTTTTCTAGATTTTCCCGAAGATGACACTCAGCTCCAGAATTCAGTGTTAAAAGTTAGTGGGGAAAAGAAATCTGGTGTGTAAATGCATTACAGTCAAATCAGAGATATGTACTATATTTGCTTTGTTACTGGTTCTAAAGCCTTACATTGTGAAACACTCTTAAAATATTTACTACAGGTCAATCCTTATAAGCAGGACACAGGTGAGAAAGCAACGACAGAATGAAATGAAACAGTTTTAATCTAAACATCCTAGATGGAAGTCTGCTGATGATGAGCAAGCAAATGTTTTTGAGCCACTATAGAGAAAACTGTAGTGTAATATTATCTTTTTAACTAATAATAATAATAATAATAATAATAATAATAAT